TATCAATTCATCTATTGATGGACATTTAGGTTGCTTCTATGTCCTGCCTATTGTAAATAGGGCTACAATGAACACTGGGTGCATATGTCTTTTCTAATTATGGTTTTCCCCAAATATATGCCCAGGAGTGGGATTGCTGGATCATATGATAGCTCTATTTTTAGTTTTTTAAGGAACCTCCATACAGTTCTCCATAGTGGCTGTACCAGTTTACATTCCTACCTACCAACAGTGTAGGAGGGTTCCCTTTTCTCCACACCCTCTCCAGCATTCATTGTTTGTAGACTTTTTGATGATGGCTAGTCTGACTGGTGTGAGGTGATACCTCATTTAGTTTTGATTTGCATTTCTCTAATAATTAATGATGTTGAGCATGTTTTCATGTGCTTTTTGGCCATCTGTATGTCTTCTTTGGAGAAATATCTATTTAGATCTGCCCATTTTTTGATTGGGTTGTTTATTTTTTTGATATTGAGCTGCATAAGCTATTTGTATATTTTGGAGATTAATTCCTTGTTGGTTGCTTCGTTTGCAAATATTTTCTCCCATTTTGAGGGCTGTCTTTTCATTTTGTTTATGGATTCCTTTGCTGTGCAAAATCTTTTAAGTTTCATTAGGTCCCCTTTGTTTTCTTTGTTTTTATTTTCATTACTCTAGGAGGTGGATCAAAAAAGATATTGCTGCTATTTATGTCAAAGAGTGTTCTGCCCATGTTTTCCTCTAAGAGTTTTATTGTGTCCAGCCTTACATCTAGGTCTTTAATCCTTTTTTTTTTTTTCGGTATGTGGGCCTCTCACTGTTGTGGCCTCTCCCGTTGCGGAGCACAGGCTCTGGACGCACAGGCTCAGTGGCCATGGCTCACGGGCCCAGCCACTCCGTGGCTTGTGGGATCTTCCCGGACTAGGGCACGAACCTGTGTCCCCTGCATCGGCAGGCGGACTCTCAACCACTGCACCACCAGGGAAGCCCTTTAATCCATTTTGAGTTTATTTTTGTGTATGGTGTGAAGGAGTGTTCTAATTTCATTCTTTTACCTGTAGCTGTTCAGTTTTCCCAGCACCACTTATTGAAGAGACTGCCTTTTCTCCATTATATATTCTTCCTTCCTTTGTCATAGATTAGGTGACCATAGGTGTGTGGGTTTATCTCTGGACTTTCTATCCTGTTCCATTGATCTATATTTCTGTTTTTGTGCCAGTACCATACTGTCTTGATTACTGTAGCTTTGTAGTATAGTCTGAAGTCAGGGAGCCTGATTCCTTCAGCCTAGAGATTGTCATACTGAGTGAAGTAAGTCAGAGAAAGACAAATATGATATGATATTGCTCATATGTGGAATCTTAAAAAAAGGCGGGGTACAAATGAACTTATCTACAAAACAGAAATAGAGTCACAGATGTAGAAAACAAACTTATGGTTACAAGGGGTAAGGGGGAGAGGGATAAATTGGAAGATTGAGATTGACATATACACACTACTATATATAAAATAGATAACCAATAAGGACCTACTGTATAGCACAGGGAACTCTGCTTAGTGCTCTGTAATGGCCTATATGGGAAAAGAATCGTAAAAAGAATGGATATATGTATATAACAGATTCACATTGCTGTACACCTGAAAATAACATTATTAATCAACTATACTCCAATAAAAATTAAAAACAAAACAACAAAGTGATGGGGGAAGGGCGGCTCAATACTGGTAAACCACAGGAAGTGTATAGATTCTTCTGCCTAATTTAGGTAGGAGGGAGGAGGGAATTAGGCACACACATAAAAATTCCATTCCTCACACTTTCCACCAGTTGAAGGTTTACTTTTGTATGAATGAGATGTGTCTTGTATTTGATTAAATGGATTTTCAACATACTGTTGCACCAAAATGTGCTCATTCACGTTATGAAAAATCAGTTTTAGGTCTCCTAAGACATTTCTTTGTGTTTAAAGGCAGAACATGGGTCTGGAGGCAGGGTGCCTAATGGCCAATCGTAGTTCTGCTGCCTAACCTAACCTCTCTGTGCCTGTAAATCAGGGAAAACGATACACCTAATTTATAGGGTTATTGTGGGGATTAAATAAGCTAATAGAAAGTGCTTGGAATAGAGTTTGGCATATAGTCAGTGTTAATTATTATCATTATTATCATCATCAGTGAAGACTGGATTTTGCATTCCTCAGAGAAGCTGGCACTGGGGAATAAGGGCCCCATTCTTCATGTCACACTGTTGCAACTTGTGATTTTCTAGCTTATAATGGCACATCCTCTGCTTTATTTCATTTTTTGTTTTGTTTTTTACCTCTGCTATTCTTTTGGTGTGGGAGGCAGATGGTTACATTCAAGGTTCAGTTACATAAGCGTTGTGTTTCACACACGTAATTTGTGTGTAAATATAGTCTTAAATATAAGGTATGGAGCGCTGGTAGACAGCAACCATGTTACAGAAGGAAGGGAAATGGCCTTGGGTCATGTGATAATCAATGTTAATATTAAAGTAGCTGAGTCCATTTTAATGGAATTTGGTGTTTTCTTGTAAATGGCTATTAATTTGGGAGCTAAGAATACATAAGGATTTATCAGGAATGAACTACCCATAAGGCAGGCTAAGACCAGTTAAATGTTACCCTGTTTAAAAGCCAAACTTGTTTTATCCTTTTAGATAGGAAATCTTTTTTTTTTTTTTTTTTTTTTGCGGTACGCGGGCCTCTCACTGCCGTGGCCTCCTCCGTTGCGGAGCACAGACTCCAGACCCGCAGGCTCCGGACGCGCAGGCTCAGCGGCCACGGCTCACGGGCCCAGCCGCCCCGCGGCACGTGGGATCCTCCCGGACCGGGGCACAAACCCGCGTCCCCTGGCGGACCCCCAACCACTGCGCCACCAGGGAAGCCCCAGGAAATCTTTTTTAATGCAGTCCCCTGGTCGGGGGGCTCACCAGTCCAGGCCCCCTCCTCTAGAGAAAGTCATCGTCTTTGCATAGGTCAGTGCCCCCGACCGTGGATTTCTGCCTCAGTCTCAGCCCCTCACTGCTCAATACTTCCTTGCCCCTCAGCCAGGCCTGCTTCTCCCCACTGCCAGACCCTCCCACAATGAAGAAAGGCTGGACGTCCTCAGCTTTTCAGCAGCCTTCGCTCACCTCAGGCACCTCCTTGCTGCAGCAGAAACCTGGCCTTCTGGGCACACCACTCCTCCCTGCTGTCTCACCGGGTGATTTTCTGTTATCCTGTAGTAGTTGGTGGGATCAACTCTTCCTTACTCCACATTGATGCTTCCAGACAATCACCCTCCACTCGCAATGCCATTAGGCTAGGCTCCTTTCCCCTACGTGGTTTTCTCCTCTGCCCACTTCCCAGCACTTTGCTTCAGTCATCATAGGCTTTACCACCTCACACACCTCCATCTTCCACACTCTAATTCCCACCATGATCTTGAGTGACGCCTCATCCAGCACCACGTCCCCTCAACTTCTCAGACTCCTACGTGTCTGATGACTTCCTTCCCTCCTCAGTCACCCCTTGGGCCCTGTCATCTCCCATGACTGCTTTAACGACAACCAGAATTCCTTCCTACCTGCCTGTGTAACTGCTCCACTTTGACCACTCTCATTTCATCTGGACCTTCCACCCACTGACTCCTCATCTTTTTTTTTTTTTAATAAATTTATTTATTTATTTTATGGCTGCGTTGGGTCTTCGTTGCTGCATGGGCTTTCTCTAGTTGCAGCAAGTGGGGGCCACTCCTCGCTGTGGTGTGCAGGCTTCTCACTGCGGTGGCCTCTCTTGTTGCGGAGCACCGGCTCCAGGCGCGCACACAGGCTCAGCAGTTGTGGCGCATGGGCTTAGTTGCTCCGCGGCATGTGGGATCCTCCCGGACCAGGGCTCGAACCCGTGCCCCCTGCATTGACAGGCGGACTCCTAACCACTGCACCACCGGGGAAGCTGCCCGACCCCTCATCTTTTTATGGAAGAGTTCACACATATACAAAAGTAGAGAGAAGATCTGTCTGTTTCATCTGTCGTCAAGAGAACTTCATAGGTAGAATTGTGACGTTCCATCAGGAAACACCTCTCTGCTTTTAAGCCCCCTAAATATTCGTATGCCAACTCTCCCAGGCACTGCTCTAGGCATTGAAGGTGTACAGCAGTGAACAAAACAGAACAGAAGCTCCTGCCCTCCCTGAGATTTTATATTCCAGTGTGCCTTTTCCTAAACCATTATCCCTCTCCATTTCACTTGCTTCTTGGGTCAGAATCACAGTCCAACACTTTATTTTCTTGTCAGCACTCTAAATTCCCTGCTTTGTCACCACACCATCTCAGTGCCAGCTATCTGCTTACCTGGTGCTTGCCTCTGCGTACAGGCAAGTCGTGCTTCAAGGTCACACGCGAGGGCAGGTTGCGCCCACCAGTTCTGGGTGGGTGTCCACTCGCTCAGCAATTCTGCATGTTTCACTGGGAACTTAACACCCGCTTCAACAGCTTCTTAACTTCAGAAGTTGAAAAAAGAAGTTGATCTGTAACAAATTACCTCAATTCCTAATGTCCAGGAAGAGCAATAATAATAACAACAATTCACAGTTATTTGAAGGCGTATTATGTGCTAAGCACTGTTCTAAGTATTTTACATGTACCCCACCTCAACTAATCTTTATAACCCTAATATAGGCAGAACACTTAGGCTGATATCGAGCACATCGGGCTCAATAACTATTACCTATTGGGGGTTTTTTTAACATCTTTATTGGAGTATAATTGCTTTACAATGATGTGTTAGTTTCTGCTTCATAACAAAGCAAATCAGTTATACATATACAGATGTCTCTATATCTCTTTCCTCTTGCGTCTCCCTCCCTCCCACCCTCCCTATCCCACCCCTCTAGGTGGTCACAAAGCACCGAGCTGATCTCCCTGTGCTATGCGGCTGCTTCCCACCAGCTATCTATTTTACATGTGGTAGTGACTATATGTCCATGCCACTCTCTCACTTCGTCCCAGCTTACCCTTCCCCCTCCCCGTGTCCTCAAGTCCATCCTCTACGTCTTTATACCTGTCCTGCCCCTATTCCCTGTTGTTCTTGTTATTAAATTCAGTGCCCAGTGTCCCACTCTGAGTTATGGAGCACCATAGTTCAGCCCCATAAGATCATTTGCTGTTTCCCGCGCCTTCTGGCTTGCTTTCCATACTTCTGTACCTGCTGCTGCCTCTGCTTGCCCCGCTCTCCTTCCTCGAACCTGCTTATTGATGAAGGTTCAGTGCAAGTGTTCTTTCTCCCAGAAGCCTTCCTTGACCACCCCCTACCCCACACACAGCACACTTATGTCACTCTTTTGTCCCGTGTTACACACATACGTGTATCGTAGCCGTTTATCTCGGTGGTATAACTTTTTCCAGGATAAATGGGAAAGAAGCTCACTTTTACTGACTGCCCTTCAGTATTTCATCTAATGCACACACAACCCAGTGAGGTGGGTGGCGGTCACCTCATTTGGGAGCTGAGAAACCTGATAATGAAAACTATTAACTAACTTCCCCAAAGACATACAGCCAGTGAAAATCAGAGCTGAGCTCCGTCACCCGGTCGGCTTCAATCTAAATCAGCCTCTGTTCTTTCAGCTACGCCCACGCCACATTCCTAAGTTTAAACCATGTTTTAGAAGCTGATGTTTGTTTTGATGGGTGCTCCGTTGGTTACGCAAGCATGGTTTTGTTCTGAACTTGATTTCAGTGTGGCGGGCGCCGGATGAATGTTCTGTCCCCTCGTCACGCAAGCACGCTTTTCTTGGACCAATTTCAAACACTGGCCAAATTCACAGGCACATTTTGCGCTGTCACCATACTTTCTTGAAACAAAATCTTTCTGACTGATTTGTAATCGACAATCATTTTTTAAAACTAGTAACCCCTTATTTGTAATGTTCTTAAAATCTCATAGTCATATACTTCGTGACTCCTGTGTTGGCTTTTTCTTTTCTGATTATTGACTCTGTGCCCCCAAAAGTTAACGTTGCCGGGTCCATAACTTCTAGGTCAGATTTCCAAGTAGTATCACTAGGAATTTGAAATCATTTTACTCACCTTTCCTCCACTTCCCAAGCTTCTACCCCTACATGATATTCACACGGTAAGGTATATCATACTCCTAATCAGTTATCGTGTGGGGAGAAACTGATAACATACGGTTAAAATAAGGCAACTCAAATAAGGATAGAATGGAGTGATAACATTACAAGTCAGAGTAGCAAAAAATAAAGTTGTTCAGAGTAAGAGCATCGCTGGTAGCTGTGTCCCTCCCTTTCACTAACCCCCGTGTCCAGTGTGTTGGCAAGGCCTGTGAGTTCTGCCTTTAAAGTTATCTCAAATCCACGCATTTCTCTCCATTGTCTGGGCTTTACTCTACTTTAAGCCACCATCACCTCTTTCCTGGAAACTTCCAATAATCCCTTGAGTGATCTCCCTGAGTCTACATCCCTCACCACCGTTCACACTTCTGCCCCTTTGTCATCTCCACACAGCAACCAGAGAAGCTCTTTAAACCGTAAATCACATCTTGTCACTCCTCTGCTGAAGCGAATAATGAACTTTGTATATAGTACCTTGGCAAAGCAGACAGTACATTAATCTGGATATTTCCTGCTCCAAATTACCCAGAGTAAGACATTTTAATTGCCCAAATTTGGAAAGATTATGAGCCCCGCCCCCATCCAGACTTCTCTGTATATTCTCGTCCAACACAGAGCAATGATAGAGAAAATGTGCTCTCCTATAAAACATGCCTTGCATTCTGCAACTGGCCTTAACTAGACAGCTGCCTTTTTGCCTGGGGCAGAGAGCCAGTGTGTCTAGATTCAGGTAACAGAGGCAGCGTGAATGAAGCTTTAGAAATATAGTTTTCACAGGTCTGGATCGAACTGTGGCAGTGGTGCTATTGTTCTAACGCCAGCTGTACTGAAAAGGGAGGCAAGAATGCCAAATGAAAAGTTGTCTGTTAAAAGATGTCAGTCTTGCACAGAGGAAAAAGTGATAGCAGTTGTTAAGTGTATGAGTGCTTGTACAAAAGTGAGTTGGATCACAGTATATTAACATACACCTAAATACAGTTGTGCTGTATTCATTAAAGCTTCGATCTGAATCTGTACCAAGACCGTTGTACTCTGAAAAATGTATCCTTGTGTGAGGTTAAGTCAATGAAAACACCAGAATTCCTGAGTAGGGAAAAACAGGCACGTGTGTGTGTGTGTGTGTGTGTGTGTGTGTGTGTGTGTGTAATGCTAATGAGTCATTGCCAAATAAAAGCACACATATATTCATATATATGTACTTAACTTTAACTTGTCATTAGTAGATGAAACAGATGTTCATATCTTTCAACAGATATTTATCAAACACTCAGTGTTGACCAAACTTAAGTTGTAAAAACCTGGATTAGCCACTTCCTCGTTGTCGCTCGGGGTCAGTCACCCTTAAGTCAGCTTCCTGCATTCTCATCCCCCCTCCAGTTCTGCAACTCAGTAAAAGAAGAAAAAAGAGAAAATATGTGCATACGCCTATAGAGTAAAAAACTAGGTCAGACTCCTCCTGTCACATGATCGTCCTTTCATTGGTTCCTCCAACCCACTCTGCCTTCCTTTTTTTTTTTTAAATCATTGTGGTACATTCACTAACTGTGCTTTTTACTGTGGGCCCTTTAAGCAAGACCAACTGAGCAACTGTCACAGGGGCTGCAACTGTCATAGATTCTGCAAATTTGCTTCTGGGCTCTTAAATGCATTTAGTTTAGGAGAGCCTTAAGTATTAATCATGGCTTCTGATTCAAACCCAGCCCCTGAGGATACTTTTCAAGGTAAGAAATTATCAGGAGGGGTTTCCTGCCCTGGCCTTGGCAGTAAATTTTTTTGTGCTGAGATAACGTTTATGATGAGAGGGCTACTGACCCGTAGTCAGTAATGTACGTGCCACGCTGAACGCTCGAGGACTTACTGGCCATGTTTGAGACATGTTTTTCAGAAATAGTGATGCCGTTAAACCCGCTTACCTGCTTTTCTCTTCTCTTGCCAGCTGACAGGGATTGGGGGTTTGGTTTTGACTCCGGAATGCAGATTTTTCTGAGCAAAGTTGTTGCCTCCATGTTTTAAGAAACCGTCTTACAGTTCAGGCTCTCATGTGTTAAATCTTTATCAAAACTACAGGTACTGGGAACAAATTCTCTTTGGTACATGTTTTTAGATATGCTTCATCTGAGAATATTCTCAGAAAAACATTCATGGTTTATTCATTTGTGTACATCTAAGAAGTGACCTCTTTAGTGATTTAGACAGTATCATCTAAGTTACTCTTTTAATGAAAGTTTTTCCACCAATCTTTATTTCAGCTCCAGTGTGCTGCTCTGCTCGTTACAACCTAGCATTTTTGGCCTTTTTTGGTTTCTTCGTTCTCTATTCATTACGGGTGAATCTGAGTGTGGCGTTAGTGGATATGGTAGATTCCAACACGACTACAGCAGATAATAGAACTGCCAACGAGTGTGCAGAGCATTCCACTTCCATAAAAGTTCTTCACAACCAAACGGTCAGTGCTGTTTTTCAAGCAAATGATCTTAATCCTAAAATACTTCCGAGTAAAAATATTGAAAAATATTGAATGTATTCATCCTACAGAAACACAGACACTTTCTTCATGTAAACTCTGAATCATTTTCTTTTGTGTTTTCCCAGTAACTGGTTAGACAGTTAACTTATAACTGTAGCTGCTGCTGCTGCGCCCTGATCTGTTTGAAAAGCAGTTTTTTCAGTTTCCTCCGTAAACATACCGTCCTTGAAGAGAATTTGGAAAAACCTGTCTGGCGTATTAGAAAATTAGGTTGTTTTAGATGTTGCTAAATAGTTTTCATGGGACCATTATTTAATAGCTGTACTACTTAAAAGGGTCCTGTTGCAGGAGGATTAAGATAATCTCAACTACAGGATGAAAAATAAGAATGGGTCAGTTTCAAAAAAAAAAAATCTATACATGCCTCACCTAAGCTGCTGATGTCGTTTCGCCTCCCTCATATTATACTGGAATTGATAAGTGCATGTTCATCATTTGTTCAGAATTGAGTTTTACACACTTTCAACATTTTCTTTTGTCTCACGTGGGGAGACAATACAGGCGGGAAAGGCTGGTGTCCTTTTTTTGTGTGTGTGGCCACACTGTGCGACATGTGGGATTTTAGTCCCCCGACCAGGGATTGAACCTGCGCCCCCGGCAGTGGAAGCGCACAGTCTTAACCACTGGACCGCCAGGGAAGTCCCAGGTGTCCTTTTTTTTTTGGGAATGTGGGCCTCTCACTGTTGTGGCCTCTCCTGTTGCGGAGCACAGGCTCCGGATGCGCAGGCTCAGCGGCCATGGCTCACGGGCCCAGCCGCTCCGCAGCATGTGGGATCCTCCCGGACCGGGGCACAAACCCGCGTCCCCCACATCGGCAGGCGGACTCCCAACTACTGCGCCACCAGGCAAGCCCCTGTCCTTTTTTATAAGTGTATTTTCATCCATCTTCAGTGCTCACAAAGGAGCCAAATCCCACGTGGGTGAGTCTCTCCTGCCGTTTACAAACAAGATCACTCAAACAGGGAAGAGGGTTTCTGCCCAAACAAGCACATGTACAAAATAATGACTTATCAAAAATCTTTACATTGGACTTCAATAATGTTGCCGAATATGTATTTGGGTACACATCACCCACTTTCCCCACCTCAACCTGTAATTGCTGGACACTTCATGAAGCCCTGGAATTCTACAGAGAAGCTGCAGATTGGTACTCTAAACAAGAATAATTAGGGCTTTGCTTTGTGTCTTACTTTCGATAAGTACTTTTCATGATCCACCTACTTATTTGCCCTACATCGACAGTAAAAAGAAATCCTGAATGGTTCTTAACATGTGGGTAGGTTACAGGGCTATGTGTGCTGAAGATGTCAGATACTCAGTCACCAGATCTTCATTTTCACCTTACTGTGTACTGCTACTAATTAAAAGACATTTCCTACTCACGTGAAGTTTCTGGCTTGGTTTAAATTCTTGCTCTTTTGTATAGCTCTATGTCCTTGTTGAAGTGCTTGGTCTGAAATGGTCTATTAATTAATGGTCTCTTAATTATCTATACTTTTGCATACTAGTAGCCAACATTAAGTGAATATTTAGTGTGTGTCAGGCCTTATTTTTTGGGCCTTTTTCATTTACTCTTCCCAGATCACAAATCCAGTAAGTAACAGAGCTGGGCTTGAACCCAGGCCGGGCTCCAAAGCCTAGCGGGGCTGCTGCAGTATCCTGTTCGTAGCTTTCTGGATTAAACCTGTGCCTTTTTTGAGCCTTCTTTGTCATGGTCATTACAAAATATCTACAATTCATCCCATAGTCTAGTTTCATAAAATAGCAAGCCTTCCTGAACATTATGACTTTCAATGCTTTTCGATTCACTTCTAGAATCTGCATGTCTGTATCACGGTGACTCACCTACCCAGTAGAAAGTCTGCATGTTCTTCAGTCTACAGCAGTGGTTCTGGGGAGTTTCCTGGCAGTCCAGTGGGTAGGACTCGGCGCTTTCACTGCTGTGGCCCAGGTTCAACCCCTGGTCGGGGAACTAAGATCCCACAAGCCTCACGGCCAAAAAAACAAACAAACAAAAACAGTGGTTCAAAATTACATTTATATGTACTCACATGCCAGTAAGAGAAAGGAGCCGTTTCATCAAGGTCTTAAAAGGCTGTTCTTTTTCCTCCTACTCCTTACAGGGTAAAAAGTACCGATGGGATGCAGAAACTCAAGGATGGATTCTCGGGTCTTTTTTTTATGGCTACATCATCACGCAGATTCCTGCAGGATATGTTGCCAGCAGAAGTGGGGGGAAACTGCTGCTGGGATTTGGGGTCCTTGGCACCTCTGTCTTCACTCTGTTCACTCCCCTTGCTGCAGATTTCGGAGTTGGAGCCCTCATTGCACTCAGGGCCCTAGAAGGACTAGGAGAGGTAATTTTTTTTCTCTTTTGTTATTCTTCTTACCCTATATCACTTTCTTGTCTCCTTAAAGATATCATTCTTGGGCTTCCCTGGTGGCGCAGTGGTTGAGAGTCAGCCTGCCGATGCAGGGGACATGGGTTCTTGCCCCGGTCCGGGAAGATCCCACATGCCGCGGAGCGGCTGGGCCCGTGAGCCATGGCTGCTGAGCCTGCGCGTCCGGAGCCTGTGCTCCGCGACGGGAGAGGCCACAACACAACAGTGAGAGGCCCACGTATCGCAAAAAAAAAAAAAAAAGATATCATTCTACCATAGAAAAATGATTCATTTCATTGGCATATAGAAAGACATTGAATGCTAGAGCTGAACACATTTTACATGTATAACAACAGTTAATAAAATTTCTTAAATTTTCAAAAATTATAAAAAAGAAAAACGGATAGTAATAATTTGTTTCTTATTTAGGCAAAAAGACAAGGTTAATACGGTCATAATAGTAGCTGATAATTATTGATCACTACCTACGAGCCAAGTACTAATCCAAGCACCCCACATGTAATTAATTATGTTTAACGGGCTTCCCTGGTGGCGCAGTGGTTGAGAGTCCGCCTGCCTATGCAGGGGACACTGGTTCGTGCCCCGGTCCGGGAAGATCCCACATGCCGTGGAGCGGCTGGGCCCGTGAGCCATGGCCTCTGAGCCTGCATGTCCGGAGCCTGTGCTCCGCAACGGGAGAGGCCACAACAGTGAGAGGCCCGCGTACCGCAAAAAAAAAAAAAAAAAAAAAGATATCATTCTTTGATATGAATATGAACCAGAAAAAATGACACTGGAAGATAATAGGGATTTATTTTTTAGTTAGAAACTGATTGACTATGAAATAACATGAGTAGATTTCACTTGTGGTCAGTGAGGTCTTGAGTGGGGCACTCCAAAATTAGAAGCTTTACTCAAAGACTAGAGAAAACATTTTCTAGGGGAATACTTCATAGCTTCCGCTACTCCCTTCTACTGAGGAGATAAGAAACCACTATTAAAACCATGAGGACAGACCATCCTACTTCTTGAACTTTTGCCACTGTTTACCTCTGCTCCATCGTTGATTGCCCAGGTCTAAAACATATTTTACCCAATAGACTATCAAATTGCCTTGTTTTCCTTTAAATTTGTTGTTTTTCATAGAACTTCTTCTTTATCATTTGTTCTTTCTTCTGGTCCTCTAACTTAGAGACAAATAATTTATCGTTTTATGTGGCTATCTTTTTTTTAGTCCTGTGATTCTTCTGGCCTTTCTGCTGCTTTTAAAATTGTTATTATTAATTTTTATCTTTTTTTTCCTCTCCTCCTAAGATTTCGATCATTTTTTTAATTATTTTAAAAATTTAATTTCTTATTTTTTTTCCTTTCCACTTCTCTTTTGCATTTCGTCATGTGTACCTCCACCTTTAAATAATGATCTCGTTTCATTTCTAACTTTGAACTTCTCAAGGCATAGGTTTATTTCGCTCTCTCTTAACATTTCTTTAACCAAGCAAGATAGTGGCCTCTGGGTTTAGTGTACAGCTTAAAGGTTATTTTGTATCATGCTGTGTAGGAAAAACACTGACTGGAGTAGTAAAATCAGAGTTTGAATAATAACTCCACTGTATCTAACGGTGGAACCATAGGTTTTCATATAAATATTATCCAAATACAATATATAATATAAATCAAATATATTGAATACCTGCCCCATCCTCAGTCACAGCTCAGATGTGATAATAACTGCTAGAAAACTTTGGAAATTGCCAAGTGCTTTTTAAATGTAAGCTTTGGTCACTCATCTGGACATTCTTATTTTGTCCTTATCGAATAGGGGTGTACTGAATAAACCCTTCTTGACTACAAAATAAAATTACCCCCCCACTAACAGGTTCCTTTTCTCCTTATCTAAGTAAAATATATACAGGTCCCTTTTCTCCTTATCTAAGTAAAAAACTAAACCCTCCTTGACTACAAAATAAAATTACTCCCCTACTAACTGGTTCCTTTTCTCCTCATCTAAGTAAAATATATGTTTTACAGATAAACTGAAGTTCTAAGAGGTTAACTGATCTTTCTGAGGCTACACAGCTAGTGAATGGCCAAGGAGAGCTGTGAATCGACTGCTGCAAATCTACCAGAATCTATTCCTTCCTGTTCCCTTGTAGCATCTCCTCCTCTCCCAAGCCTCTGTGAGCCTCCCTGCCTTCACTGTCTTGTTGCTTCTCCATTACCAGTAATTAGTATTTTTTAAAATTGAGGTATAGTAGATGTCCAATATTATATAAATTTCAGGTGTATAACAATTCCAAATTTTTATGTATTATACTCCATTTATAGTTATTTTAAAACATTGGTTATATTCCCTGTGCTGTATAATATATCATTATAGCTTATTTATTTTATACATAGTAGTTTGCACCTCTTAATCCCCCACTCCTATCTTGCCCCTCCCCTAATTGGCATTTACTAGGCTAATTATCACCAGAAAAGAAAAAAATACTGGTAAACACTCTAATTGAGTGTTTTTTGGTAGTACCATTTTTTGGTAGGACCATTTTTCCTGTTGAGTAAGGTGAATCTGAATTTTCTTCTAGTATCCCACAGTATTAGCTCAGTATTTTTAAAAGTTACGTATTGATAACATTCCCATTGCATTCAGGCCATAAATAAAGTAAATGAGGGTTTCCCTGGTGGCACAGTGATTAAGAATCCGCCTGTCAATGCAGGGGACACGGGTTCAAGCCCCCATCTGGGAAGATCCCACATGCTGCGGAGCAGCTAAGCCCGTGTGCCACAACTAATGAGCCTGCGCTCTACAGCCTGTGCTCTAGAGCCCACAAGCCACAACTACTGGGCCTGCGTGCCACAACTACTGAAGCCCGCGCGCCTAGAGTCCGAGCTCCGCAACGAGAGAAGCCACGCAATAAGAAGCCTGTGCACCACGACGAAAGAGTAGCCCCTGCTTGTCACAACTAGAGAAAGCCCTCGCACAGCAATGAAGATCCAACACAGCCAAAAATAAATAAATAAATAAATTTATAAAAAATAATAATAATAAATGAGTAAAATTCACCGTGGGAGGGTGCCTTTATATCCTCATTCAGTACATTCTTTTACATTTTTTGTAACCCTTGCCTTGCAGTCCTCAAATCAGTTGACAGAGTCCACAAGTCTTTGTTCAGATTTTGAAAGTACTTCATTATGAGGTATTTGCACCCAGCACTGTAAAGACATCTCACTCCATGAAACCTGATTCCAGCGTGAGTCTTATCCAGAAACTTCTCTTGCAACAAAATACTCAACTGAATTTAAAACATGAACAAAACTACCTTGCATTTCGTCAGAAATATCTTTTTCCCTTCCCAGGGTGTCACATTTCCCGCCATGCATGCCATGTGGTCTTCGTGGGCTCCTCCTCTTGAAAGAAGCAAGCTTCTCAGCATTTCATATGCAGGTGAGATAACTGTTCTTGTGAAGGTTTTCGCTACAATGTGTTATCTGTATATCAACCTTGGGGGAAGGGCGCAAAGCAGAATCATGCAATGTCAGGTGCTTTCTTTGGGGAAAACTTAAGTTGCAGGGGTATAACTTTATTCTTAATGTTCTTCTTTGGCTCACCAGCATATAGCAAAGTGGCTTCATTGACTACTGTCATTTTCTCCGTCTGCCATCATTTATTTCAAAACATGTTGCCTTTTCAGATGTTGATATAGAGAATGCTTTAACAAAACAAAGCCAAAAAAAAAAAAGCTGGAAAATTGAACACTTTTGTCCTTAAATTGTGATTTGATTTGATCATCTGATAAGCTGGTCATGACTTTCAACCCCTCCCTTCAGACACCTTGTTTTCTATGCATTTATTTGCTATCATTTGGTCTATAGGTAAGATAGCATGAGCTTTATATGTGAATTATAACTTTTCCAGCTCACACACTGAATGAAAACTTTTTATTTATTTTTTTGACACATAGTGCCTGGCATGGAGCAGATATTCAGTAACTATTCAACCCGGTTTTCTAGCCTTCCTATTCCTTGCCTTCACCCAATTGAAGTTCCCAAACCCACTTTCTGCTTTCCTACTTCCATTCATTTGCTCACCCTGTTACACCTGCCTCTATATCTTTTTTCTTATGGGACCAGATCTTGCCCATCTTTTCAAAGTCCCACTGCTGCTTCTTACATCTTTTCCTGATCTCTAGAGGTCAGAGGTAATCTGTCCTACATTTGAACTTCCATATTGCTCTGTGACACTCAACACTTTCTAACGTGTAATAATTATTTGTTTATATTTACTTCCTATATAAGACTAAAATTTGAGACCAGAAACAATGTCTGCTTATTTTAGCTCCCACTGTACCTTCTAAGATGTCTTCTGTTTGGTGGTTAAAATGAATTTTATCACTTATTTATCCGAAACAATTGTGTGTAATATATTTGGGGCAAATTAGATTACCAAAAGCTTCGTTCTTTTTTCTCCAGGTGTGCTGCAGTAGGCTATGTATAGAGACCATCTTTGAGCCTTTCCCCAAACACTTGGCTTTCTAACACATTTACTAGTAATGTGGCATTTACTAGCTCATATTATAATAGGTCTTCTATTGATTGATGCCTTCTAATTCATCAGTAGCTACATAATTGTAACTAATATAACTACATATTAATGTATACATTTTACATATTGTGGGTTTTCTAGTAAATGATCCCTTAAGAGAATGGGTTGTTTATATTTACATGTGACTAACTCAACTCCTATAGGATTTGAATCACTCTTTCTTTTCTCTATTGTCTGTTATCCGTCTTCTTTAGGATAAACTGTGTCCCCTCTTTGTTCATTTTTCTCCAAAGTTTACAAAGTCTTTGTTGTTATTCTAGGAGCACAGCTTGGGACAGTAGTTTCTCTTCCTCTTTCTGGTATAGTTTGCTTCTATATGAATTGGACTTACGTCTTCTACCTCTTTGGTAAGTTTATTCAAAAATGTAACCAAATTATAATGTGATAGATCCAAAATGTAATAGTGATCTAATAATTGGTTAAAATATGTATATTCCAATTCACTGAAGTACCCATCTCCTAGACCACAAAGCTCTGAAACATTTACTGACAACCTGTTTTTCAAGTTTATGTGGTTAAAATGATCCAGCTGAGTTGTGACCTGATGTTAATTTTGGAATATTTGTTCAATAGAAACTGCTGTTGAATCCAGGACATAAATGCTGTACTTACTATAAAAACTGCTGTGTTGTTTATTATAAAAGATGTATATTTTGAAAATATTTCTTCTCAAACAAAGTAGGATGCTCTCACTTGGTAGTTTTAATCTTTTTTGTTTCTTTGTTTAGTCCCAGGGCCTTTCATTTCCCAATCTCAATAGCAGGACGATACACATATTTAATAAATTAGATTGCCATGTAAACATTTATGCAGGAAATATATCTGCAATCAAAACAAAAAACATCAATAAACAAAAGCAGATACCTGTGGAAATAATAGATTGTCAACTTTTATTTTTTAAAAGGTTTGTCTGGTAGGCCCTGATAGGCAGAGTCATGTGGTTAAAAGTTGTTCTCTTCAGGTGCAAACTTCCCATTACAAAATAAATAAGTCATGGGGATGTAATGTACAGCACAGTGATATTGTGGTACATACTTTTTTCTTTTTTTTTTTGGCTGCATTGGGTCTTCGTTGCTGTAGTGGGCTTTCTCTAGTTGCGGCGAATGAGGGCTACTCTTCGTTGCGGTGCATGGGCTTTTCCTTGCGGTGGCTTCTCTTGTTGTGGAGCACGGGCTCTAGGCACACAGGTTTCAGTAGTTGTGGCATGCGGGCTCAGTAGTTGTGGCTCGTGGGCTCTAGAGCGCAGGCTCAGTAGTTGTGGCACATGGGCTTAGTTGCTCCACGGCATGTGGGATCTTCCCGGACCAGGGATCAAACCCGTGTCCCCTGTATTGGCAGGCGGATTCTTAATCATGGCACCGCCAGGGAAGTCCCTGTGGTACATACTTGAAAGTTGCCAAGAGAATAAATCCTAAAAGTTCTCATCACAGGAAAAAAAAATGTTTGTAATTTTGTATGGTGATAGATGGTAGCCAGACATATTGTGGTGATTATTTCGCAGTGTATATAAATATCAAATCATTTTGTTGTCCACTTGAAACTAATGTAATGTTATATGTCAGTTATACTGCAATTTTTCAAAAAAGTTTTTCCTCTTAAAAATTTATAGGAGATAATACAAATAGCAGTTATCCCATTAAAGAATTATGAGAAGAACTTGAAAACAAAGCTGAAACCAATTTTTCATTTTATATTTCAAGTTTACAATTACATAATTTTTTCAAGACAGAAAAATTGCTGTTGGTGCATACTAATTTCATTTACCTCTTATTTTTCTATTTTAAGGTATAGTTGGAATCATTTGGTTTATTTTGTGGATCTGGTTAGTTAGCGATACACCAGAAACTCACAAGACAATCTCCCCCTATGAAAAGGAATACATTCTTTCATCGTTAAGAAATCAGGTAAGGACTTTGGCACATTTTAAAAATAATTTCAGAATCTTTTTTTTCTTCAGAATTAAGATACCAGTTTTTTTAATAGATATTTCTGTTGTGCACACTCTAGGCAAAGCAGAGCAGGCGAATAAATAAATCTACAAAGTACTGTTTTGTCCAAGAAATGTCAATTCTTTCTAGTTTAAATCTATGAAATTTAAAATCTAGAAATTTATTTAAATCTAGTTTAAATCTATGAAAAATTACTTTTCTAAGTCATTTTAAACCTTCGAGAGTAATGATTATCAAGTGAGCCTCCTTTGTCTTCTTAATTAGTAGAAAATAAGATGTGTTATTTACAAAAGGAATCTTATAGCTATACCCTAAATGCTAGTTGTTAGAAAACTAGTGTGTTTTTATCTGTATTTTAGAGTGTGATTTAACAAGGACAGCACATTTATTGTGATATATAATAATATAATATGATATACACCTGTCTGCTCCTCTAGGGTAGCCATTCAGGAAAAATTTATACTTAACTAAAGTAAGATTTGTTTCACTTAATTGAGCACAATAGCAAGTCAGAAATAAAAGTCTATCATAATTTAATAGTCTATCATAATTTAATTTATGATAAATTACGTATCATAATTTAATACATAATTAATACATAATTTAATACATAATACATAATTTAATACATACATTAATACATAATCATAAATTCTCAAGCCATGGGGACAAAATATTTGCCTTTTGGTGGGAATAAAAGAAGAACATGAAAACATTAGGAAAATTAAAATATATACAGTCTTTTCTTTAGCATTGTTAATGGCTTCATAGTCACTTTATTTGTTTAAGAACATAAAATATTTCGTGTAAGACTTTTCTTGCCCACTGAGTTATTATTACTGATATTTTCAATTTTTATATATAGTAAACCAGACAGTAATTAAACATTTACTCACTCACATTTCCTTTTTTTTTTGACTGCTTTGGGTCTTCGTTGCTGCTCACAGGCTTCCCCTAGTTGCAGCGAGTGGGGGCTACTCTTTGTTGTGGTGCGCAGGCTTCTCATTGCGGTGGCTTCTCTTGCTGCGGAGCACGGGCTCTAGGCGCACGGGCTCCGTAGTTGTGGCTCACGGGCTTAGTTGCTCCGCAGCATGTGGGATCTTCCTGGACCAGGGCTCAAACCCATGCGCCCTGCATTGGCAGGCGGATTCTTAACCACTGTGCCACCAAGGAAGTCCCGCATTTCTTTTTAAGTTTTACAATTTGCTACAAAGATCTCTATAAACTGCTGAATTTTAAGAAACATGGCATCGCTTGGTCTTTGCCAAAGGTTGACAAAAATCTGGAAGAAATCACCAGTGTAATAAAGAAAGTTACTTTGAGATCTCAGTGTTCTCTGAGATGTTAATCAAATGAATCACCCACTTTTTCTCACTAAGGAACAGATTAAAAGACTTAAATGCATTGTAAATGGGTCTTGCCACGTAAAACTTGATATATCTTATATAAACAATGGAATATTACTTGGCCATAAAAAAGAATAAAATTTTGCCATTTGCAGCAACATGGATGGACCTGGAGGGTATTATGCTTAGTGAAATAAGTCAGACAGAGAAAGACAAATACTATGTCTTTTTATTTATATGTGGAATCTAAAAAATAAAACAAATGAACAAATATTAAACAGAAACAGGCTCATAGATACAGAGAACAAACTAGTGCTTACCAGAGGGAGAGGGAGAGGGGCAGAGGCAAGATAGGTGAAGGGGATTAAGAGGTACAAACTATCAGCTAAAATAAGTAAGTTACAAGGATGTAATGCACAGCACAGGAATGTAGTCAACATTTTATAATAATTTTGTATGGAGCATAAGCTATAAAAATACTGAATTACTCTTTTGTACACCTGAAACTAATATAATATGGTAAGTCAACTATACTTCAATTTTTTAAAAAACTTGATATGTTTTCTCACATTTTTTCAGCATTGATGATTAATTTGCTTCTTCTAAAACTTCATTTTTATCATTCTTTCTGTGGACTTATGAAACCTTTTAGTTTATTTAGTTTTTTTTAAAGCTAGCTTAATATATGCCTAAATCTGTCCATTATCCAAACCTAAGGTTAATTTGTTTTTCCATATGCTTCAGAAATTGGAATATTCAGAAGCAAGAGGAATTAGGGGAATTAGGTTTCATAGAACTCCAAACTGCATTCTTAAACCAGATGACATTGTAGTTGAAAATGTCATAAAATACTGTGTTACATGAAGCTCCACTTTTAAATCTTGGATCCAAGAAATGTTCGGCATCTGCTGTACCTCATTCATTCCTTAAACATTTTTTGAAAGCTTACTGTGTCCTAGGTTCTTTGTCAGGTACTGAGGACTAAAAAATTAATCAAAGAGAGGGAATGAACAAGACACGGTTCCTGTGGGACCTGTGATCTCCAGAGGGAGACAGACATGGATGAACAGAATTTCAATATAATACAGGCTGAACAGTGCTGTGCTACAGGTTACACAGTGCATCTTTGGTACAGAGAAGGCAGGGGTCTTCAGCCAGCCTAGGAACAGATAGGAAAAGCTCTGGTGTTGATGGTCTCTGGCCAAAGACTGTCAGCAACATACCTGTAGTTGAACAAAGGGGTTTCTTTCTTTCTTCCTTTTTTTTTTTTTTTTTTTTTTTAGTTTGGAACGCTTCGTGAATTTGCCTGTCATCCTTGTGCAGGGGCCGTGCTAATCTTCTCTGTATTGTTCCACTTTTAGTACATGTGCTGCCAGTGTGAACACGGCGTATCTTGTTTTGCTGCAGTGAAGAAGAAAGCACACCATGAGGAACCACAGGGCATCCCAGCGAGAGAGTAGAGGGCAGCTTCTTATAGCTTAGACTTGTGTTAGGAAGCAGTAGTGACTCACATTAGCCGGGAGAGGAAGGTTTTGCGCCTTTGTGTGGTTCATACCTTCTTGTTTTGTTGTTGTTGTTGTTGTTCTGTTTTTGGGGGGTGTTTTTTTTTTTTTTTGACCACACTGAGCGGCATGCTGGATCTTAGTTCCCTGACCATGGATCGAAACTATGCCCCCTGCATTGGGAGCCCAGAGTCTTAACCACTGGACCTCCAGGGAAGTCCTCATAGATTTTGTTTTTGTCTGTGCTCAGAGGTGATTAAGGAGTGGCCTATTTGTCTCATTCCATCATTCTTTTTTTTTTTTTTTTTTTTTTTGCGGTACGCGGGCCTCTCACTGTTGTGGCCTCTCCCGTTGCGAGCACAGGCTCCGGATGCGCAGGCTCAGCAGCCATGGCTCACGGGCCCAGCTGCTCCGCGGCATGTGGGATCTTCCCGGACCGGGGCACAAACCCGTGTGCCCTGCATCGGCAGGCGGACTCGCAACCACTGCGCCACCAGGGAAGCCCCATCATTCTTATAGAGTGACTTTGTTCACAGTCAATGGAGCACACTGTGGCCCAGCTGTTAGAAGCAGGCCAGCTCAGGTGACAGCAGCCAGAGGCTGCTTGTTTCTTTCTTACTGGTAAGGGCTGTATCTGCACAATCTTGAAAGAGAAGTTGGAGTTAACCAGGCAAATTGGGAGAGTGAGAGATGTGCGGGCATCTCAGGCCAAGGATGTGGTATAAGCAGAGACAGAGGAGGGAGAGTCGTACCTGCCAGGATAGTGCCAGGAGTCAGGTATTGCTGCAGGTAAAAGGCAAAGGCAGATAGTGGCAGGAGATTGTAGGGCGTGGGCAGAAGCCTGATCATGGAGCGTCCGGTACACCCCGCTGAAGAGCTTAGACTTTATCCTTTAGGCACTGGGATGCCATGAACTGTTTGTAAGCTTGAGGTGACAGAGTGAAGTTTGAGTTTTATAAAGCTTACGCTAACAGCTGTGTGGAGAGAAGGTCCGAGCCAGACAAGCAGGGGCTCCAGTTATAATGCTCTCTCAGTTATCCAGCTAAGAAAAGCCTGTACTTATAGGCAGAAATGTGATTTCATTCTTGCAATAAGTAGATTCTACATTTATGACAGCATGTATAGTTCTAATTCTGATTCAGAAATGTTACAAGAGAGGAATAAAATCTTCAGGGCACTCTGCAGGTAAACTCAGAAGGCCAGCTCATGACTAGCTCATGGATAGACTGCCTATAGTAAGTAACTAGTGAGTGCTTTAAGATCATCAACTACTGCTCTGTGTTGAAGATGTCCCTTTTTTTTTCAGATGTAGAAGGAAGGATTTATTATTACTTGCAATGAGTAAGGAGAACACCGGGGATTTTCCCCAAAGCAATGCCTCTCTCTCTTTTTTTTTTTAAATTGAAGTATAGTTGATGTATAGTATTATGTAAGTTACAGGTATACAATATAATGATTCACAATTTTTAAAGGTTATGCTCCATTTATAATTATTATAAAATATTGGCTATATTCCCCATGTTGCACAATATATCCTTGTAGCTTATTTTATACCTAATAGTTTGTACCTCTTTATCCCCTACCCTTATGATGCCCCTCCCCCTTCCCTCTCCCCACTGATAATCATTAGTTTTTTCTCTATATCTGTGAGTCTGCTTCTTTTTTGTTATCTTCACTAGTTTGTTGTATTTTTTTTAGATTCCACAAGTAAATGATATCATACAGTATTTGTCTTCCTCTGTCTGACTTATTTCACTTAGCATAATGCCCTCCAAGTCCATCCATGGTGCTACAAATGGCAAAATTTCATTCTTTTTTACAGCTGAATAGTATTCCATTGTGTAGGTTTACCATATCTTCTTTATCCATTCCTCTGTCGGTGGACACTTAGGTTGCTTCCATGTCTTGGCTATTGTAAACAGTGCTCCAATGAACATTGGGGTGCATGTATCCTTTCGGACCATGTTTTTCTCCAGATATATGCCCAGGAGTGGGATTGCAGAATCATATGGTAGCTCTATTTTTAGTTTTTTAAGGAACCTCCATACTGTTCTCCATAGTGGCTGCACCAATTTACATTCCCAACAACAGTGCAAGAGGGTTCTCA